TTCATGTTCTGCCTTGCTTTCAGTGTTCTGGCACAAGGTCACACGGTTAGTGTTCCTGCAGAGAAACTTCAAGAGCGGGTCTCTTATGAGGAGCAGGAGAAAGTATGACCATGAGAGGAAGAAAGGGAACTCTAGAGTCGGACACTTTTCTAAATGGTCATGTCAACAGAACTCCAGAAGAATTCTCATTTGCACAGGCTCATTTTCCAGCGAAGGCAAGGAAGCCCGGAGAAGGTTTGCAGGGGATCTGGCCACTAACAGCTGCCTTCTCAAGCTCCTGGACTTTCCCGCTACCCACTCCTGTCTTTCAAACCAGCATGCCTTGATTCTCAGGGATTTACCTCAAAGATTCTCAGCAAGGTCCAATCCTGAATGCTTGAAAAAAACCTTTCATACTGGATTTGTGAAAATATGACAAGAGTTAAAAAGAAAGACAAGTTGTGCAAGTTTAGGAAAACATGAGGAAACCTAAAGTAGAACAGCAAATAAAAACAAAGGAAAAGCACTATGCATAAACGTTAATATAAGTCTAGTTTTTGGTGGAATAAGGCATTTTGATCACCTTTTTTTTATTTTAAAGATTTATTTATTTATTTGTTTATACAAGCACTGGGTACAGTCAGAAGCGCTGGTGGGTGAGAGAATTCACCAGAGCCAGAGCAGGGAGCAGAACAGGCAGACTGATGAAATATACTGCTGAGGGGAGCAGCGGGTGTCAGGAGAGGTCTGTGCACCATGTGGGACCCTCGCTGGCAGCTGGGGATTGAACCGGCACTGCAGAGGCTGCGGGCAGCTTCACAGCCCAGCGCTCAACCACTGCGCCACCAGGGGAGGCCCAGCTGATAGCTTTGAAGTGACTCTCTGAAGAAATGAGGAGTCTTTATACTGGGGCTAAAATTCTGCCAGTGGATGTTTGCTTGTATTTCCTGGTAGCTGATGATAACTTAATCTGGAAACATAACCAGAGGGAAAGTAATCCGTCTGTCTCTTTTTTGTGTTCACACATTCACACTGTGCAATCGCCACTCAGCGCTGCTTTTTTGTTTCCTGGTATTTTCAAACTTTTAAAAATTGTCTAATCCAATTAAGCTATTGTTTTCTCAGAAACCTCTTTTTTTTTTTTTTTTTTTTTTTTTTTTTTTTTGTGAGAACAGCAGCTACAGCGAATTCTTTCAGCACCTTCATTGAGCCACTGGGGGTGTCAGGCTCTGTGTTGGTGACTACTGACAGAAACATTTCCAGTTTTTCACTCAGCCCTGCAAGTTGGTGGGTGGCCTTTATCATCCTGGAGGACAGATGAGGGAATTAGTTTTGAGGAAGGTTGTGTCAATAAGAAGTAGGCCAATCAGAAATTGAATCCAGATCTTTCCATGTGCCCTTTATCAGTACTTGTTCTCATAAGACCCTGTTTCTAGTCCTACATACCGCAAATATAGACAAACACCTACTCACACACTTTAAAAGTTAATGTTCAACATCACTTGCCATCAGGGAAATGCAAATCAAAACTACCATGAGATACCATCTTACACCAGTGAGAATGGCACATATTAAAAAAACTAGCAACAACAAATGCTGGCGAGGGTGTGGAGAAAAAGGAACTCTTCTGCACTGTTGGTGGGAGTGCAAACTGGTCCAACCACTGTGGAGAGCTGTGTGGAGATTTCTGGACCTATTAAACATAGAGCTTCCATATGATCCAGCAATTCCACTCCTAGGTATTTACCCAAAGGACACAGAAACATCAATTCCAAAGAACACCTGCACCCCTATGTTTATAGCAGCACTATTTACAATAGCTAAGCTTTGGAAACAACCCAAATGCCCAAAAATAGATGACTGGATCAAGAAGATGTGGTACATATATACCATGGAATATTACTCAGCATTCAAAAAAGATAAACACATGCAATTTGCAGCAACATGGATGGCGCTGGAAGGGATCATGCTCAGCGAAATAAGCCAAAAAGAAAAAGAAAAATACCGGATGGTCTCACTCATAGCAGGAATCTAGAAAACTTAAATAAGGGACCAGGAAAATGAATATAAGAAAGTGAAAATCAAAATCAACAAAAAACTATGAACCAGAGACACTTTTAGGGGGGCGGGGGTGGGAGGGGAGGGATTGGGGTCAGAATGGGGGGCTGCAATTGTATGGGGAATATAACAATAAAATTTATAAAAAAATAAAAAAAAAATAAATAAAACTGCTTTCCTACTTTAAAAAAAAAAAAAAGTTATTTTACAAAAAAAGAAACGTTAATTCCTCATCTATCATTTCTCATTCAACAGTACCCTATGGCATTCTTCCAAGTCATCTATTTTGGCTCAAATTTATTATTTTTACTGAGTGTGACTGTGGTCTACGCTGTGCATGTGCCATCATTTCTATTTAGTCAGGTCTTTTAGAAATTACTCAATAAATCTCTGTAGGAAGAACTATCCTGGCCCTTTAGAATCCTGGCCTTGGCTGAGTTTGCATTCTAGGGTCTCCCCAGTGGTGCAGCTGGTTGAACCCCGCCCTGTGAAGCTGTCCACAGCCTTTGCAGCGCTGGTTCGATTCCCGGCCAGCCAGGGAGAGTCCCACATGGCGCAGCAGACCTCTCCTATCTCGCCCTGCTGCTCCCCTCAGCAGTGTGTTTCAGTCAGTCTGCCTGTTCTGCTCCCCACTCTGTCTCTGGTGAATCTTCTCACCCTCCCGCGCCTCTGGCCTGTACACCAGCTCTTGTATAAATAAATAAATCTTTAAAAAAAGTTTGCATTCTAGTGAAAGGACATAGAAAATGAACAATGAACATATTCGATTAATTTTATACTAGGTGGAGATGGGGTATGTTTGTAAGTAGTTCTCTCTCTCTAAATGGGGAGCTGGTAAAAGTCACTTTGTCCCTTGGAGACATTAGTGCCCTCAGCAAGGTCACTATTCTGGAACTGAGTGGAGATAGGGATGCAGCTTGTACTTGCCCAGACAGGAGGAACAGTAGGGACAGCAGGGAGAAGACACTGGCTCACTTTTTTAGGAACATACTTTGTTGGAGACCTAATTGTACTGCAAGAGCACACGCATGCAGAGCCGTGTAACACTGAAATATAATTATGTTCTAAGTGGGGCTTCTAGGCTCCTTCTGTGAGAAACCATCATCATTTCACATGGAAATGATTCCACTGCAGATTGATTCACTCTGCTATAACCTACTTCATTTATATGTATGTTTTCTTATTTGCTGAACCCTTTCAAAGAAAATAACAGACATTAAGACAATTCTCCCATAAATACTTCAGCATAAAAATGTACTCCTGAATAACCATAGTATCATTTTAATATCTATAAAAATAACAATTTCCTCATGTCTTCTACTTCCATCCCATTTTCAAATTACGCCAGTTGCCGCAATGTTTTTATATATTTATTTAAAAATATTTTTCAGCCACCATCTAGTCAAGGGGCACATTACATTTTGTTATGTCTGGAAAATCTCTTATGAGACTCTCCTTGTCCCACTTCCTTTTATCAGGAACAGTGACTTTCTGAAGAGCTCAGATCACTTGCTTGTGGAGTATCTCGCAAGCTGGACTTACCTAATTATTTTCCCAGGGTTTTATTTTAAAAATATTTTTTGGGCTTCCCCTGGTGGCACAGTGGTTGAGCGCTGGGCTGCGACGCTGCCCGCAGCCTCTGCAGCGCTGGTTCATTCCCCAGCCGCCAGCGAGGGTCCCACAAAAAAAAAAAAAAAAAAATTATTCACAGTAAATCATTTTTATTACATCACAATCTTTAAGAATAGTGCAATTCATGATAATTACAGATCACGTCACAACACATCTGCCCATGCATATTTGAAAGTTATTTTTAATTAAAAAGTGTGGTTTTAGTTAAATTTAATTTTTGATATCACCAACATTCCTAGATCAGCAGAATCAAATGGTGCAGATCAGTTGGGTACACTGTATATATCTCAACACAAACAAGTGCAGTGTAAAAAATGTACATGTTTCAGCTTACACCATACAAAAATAGTTAAAATACAGTCCAGGTAAATATGTTGCATTAAGGAATAGTATATGTAAAAATAATGCAAGAGAAATTGGCACTCAAAGGAAAAATTTGAAAGTCTTTTCAGTGTGAAAGCATAAGAGATTGAAATTGGAAATTTGTGGATAAAACATTATAAAAGTCATTTAGCTCTATGAGGGGGGAAGCCCCCTTTAAGTAATTAATAATTTTGTCTCTTCTCAATTCATCTAAATTGCCTATCACACTAAACTGGCAAGTATTAATTAATCTAATTATGACTACTTTTCAAGACCTGATGTGAAAAATATCTTTAGAAATAGAAAGAAGTGGCTTTCATTTTTCTGAAGAAATTTGCAGCTACCATTTGTATGCTGTTCAATTTCTCATGCTGCCCAGTATTAAATAGAAGTTACTAAATCTAATTCTGCTTTAAAGTAATTGGTGGGTTTTAAAATTTTTAATATATAGTTATCAAGAAATGATTGCTTCTGGACAAATGGAAATTATAGTTTTTATTGCCTTAAAAAAAATCCCCATATATTTAGGAAAAAATGGTTAGAAGAAAAAAAAAATCACTGGAATGCCCATCTGGTGAACTTGTGCAAACTTGATATTAAGTTTCTGTGTATATTAGAAATATACTCAAAGGGGCCTCCCTCGTGGCACAAGGGGGTTAATAAGCACTGCACTGTGATGCAATCCCCAGCCTCTATAGCATGAGTTCGATCACCGGCTGGCCAGGGAGCTACCCACATGGTGCAGCAGACCTCTCCTGTCTCGCCTTCTGCTCCCCACAGCAGTGTATTTCAGTCAGTCTGCCTATTCTGCTCCCCACTCTGTCTCTGGTGAATCCTCTCACCCCCCCACATCTCTGGCCTGCACCCTAGCTCTTGTATGCATAAATAAATAAATCTTAAAAAAAAAGAAATCTACACAAAGTTTCTGTGTATATTAAGACAAAATTGTGCATTGGTAGCAAAGGTTTTGACAACCTATAAAGTCAGGTTCCAAATTCCTATGCAGTGTGACTAAGTTAAAACAGAATCTAGAATCCTAATTGGAATATTCTCTGAAATTCTACGATGCACTTCTACTCCAATTTAACCTGCAGATTTACCCAACATTATCTAGGTGTAGGGTGTAGGGACTTACATCACTCCTCTTCATTTCTATGTAGGAGAAGAAATGGCCATATTTCAGCAATTATGGGACATAACTGAAGGCATTTTAAAGATTCTTGAATTTCTGAAGTAGCCAGGCAATTTTTTTTAAAGACAGTGGTAATTATCATTTATTATGTAAATTTGAAAGTTTTGACCCGTTGTTTGTAGAGCTTTCTAAAGGGAAGAGCTAACCCTAAAGATAACAGCAGTGTTATCTAATCCTCATGGGCTGAAAGATAAAATCCCAGGGCTTTATTTAATGTGCTTCTCTACGTATTTCTTCTAATCTGGGAGGTGTAGACATATTTGACAAGGGTACATCATGAAGTGATGCTGGTTTACTTCGTAGTGCATTCTAGCAGGGAGTAATGATATGTTTTCCCGCTGACAGTGCTGGCGGTGGATTAACCTAATTTTCCTATTGTAAAAATACTTGTCCTTGACTGATAATCTCTGAACTGATACACTATGATTATCTACCCACCTCTTACCTAATGATTTTAGCATCCATTGATAATCCTTACCTGAATTGGTTATATTACTAGATTTTCAAAATGGTTTAACTCAAATATTCCTCCTTTATTTATAGATTGGCATTTCTCTGTAAAGAACTTTCTCTCCATTTCTACTGTATGGTTATTCTGAACTGGGGTTATTGAAAAGGTAGGAGAAGAAACTTTGTTCTTTCTCTTAAGTTTAATAAGTCGTTTTTATTTCCTTTTCCTTTTCTTTTGGTAGTGTGTTTCAATCAATTACACTCTTATTCTTTTTGATTCTCCAGTTGTTCTAAGATTGGACTTCTAATAGATTTTAAGAGCTGGACAGAATCTTAGAAAGCAACTAATCCCCATTTCTGAGTTTTATTGGTGAAGAGACTGAAGCCAGAAGTTTATGACATGCTAATCTAGTTATGACTATGTTAATAAGTCACAGCTAATAAATGATAGAGCAGAATTATGATCCAGATCTCTTATAGCCTCAGCTAGTGATTTGACCAGAACAACTGAGATCTGAGAGATCTCTCTGCAGTAAATCTTGCTTTTAACTTCTTACTAATAGCATTAAGTGATATTGTTAGGGGGAAAAGGATGTCCTAAAGCTAATTCTATACAGGCTTTGTGGACTCCACCCCCACCCCAGGCCAAAGCCAAAGACACTGGGAACTCCAAATCCCATCACCACCAAAGGGAAGGTGGCTGGGACCTGAGGGTGGGTTAAGCAGCCAAGTGAGTATAAAGACAGACACATGGGCATTGGGGGGTCCCCCATTTTGGCTTTCCACCAGCTCGCAGCGTCTGGCCAGCTCTGAGAGTGACTTTGGGTTTCCAGGTCGGCGGATCGGGTAGGACGCATTAAAGACTTTATTTCCCTATTTTCTCCCTGAGTTGTACATTTTCCTTATTTCCTTTTCCCTTGTAAATAAACCTTTTATTAACCTTTTGTGTGCGCCTGTAGTGGAGTATTCAAAAGTCCCTTTTAAGCTCGCAGGTGAGGGCCCACACCCAGGCAACCCGTTCAATATTGGGGCTTTCCTATAACGATATGAGAGAAAATGGCTTACATGTTTGCAATCATACATATTTTTCTTTATTAGAAGTTACTGCCTAGTCCAATGGGTGGCAGATTAAAGAGACTACTTATCTCAGTAGTCAATAGTCTCCCCCTTTTGTTTGATGTGCTTGTGCTTGGGTTACTTAGGATTATAGTCTTTTTTCACTCTTGTATTATTTTTATTGAGGTAGCATTGGTTTACAGCACAGCTTATGATTTGGAGGTACAGGTCCACACCTTTTTAGATGCATATTTCCACACCATACCCACCACCAAAGGGTGATAGTGTCTGTAGATATTTCCTGCCCCCAAAGTAACATTACAGCACCCGTGTCCTGGGTCTGCCATCATTTGTGTGTTCTTACTCTTTCCTTCCTCTGTAGAAAGAGTGGCTGGGTTAGCTGTTCGTAATAACTTGAGGCTTTAAAGTTATTTAAACTCCTCCTCCCAGGAGTTAGTTGTCTGATATTTATTAAAGAGTTGTTATTCCTTGAAGTATATCATTGTGGAGCTTATTTTCCCCCAAATGTGTTCATCAGAAGTGCGGCTGGATTTGTTGGGTTTTTTTCCCCCACCTCTTTGTGAAGGGCCAGGTCCTGCTGGAGAAGGTTACGTCCATGTCAGGAGGATGTGCAAAGGCAGGCTTGGCCAGTTTCCTCTGTGTGTGCAGCGTGTCCCGTGGACACCCGCTAGTTCCCTCGGCCCTCTAGCTCCTCTTTCCTGCCTCACTAAGAGGAGGGTGGCACTGACTCCTTGAGCTTGCCTGGCCATCCCTCCCGGGAGAACCCCAGGCCAGCTGTTCTGGTCAGCATCAGTAGTGTCACTTGGGACCGTGTGGAAATGTAACTCCCCGAGCTCCCCTGCCAGAGATTCTGACTCTAATAAAGCCCAGGATTCTGTATTTCAAACAAGTTCCTCCAGTGATTCTCGTGCAGGTGGGCTTGAAAGCACCGGGAGAAACCCTGCCTGGCTGTTTGGAAGGTTGGCAGGGGAATCCAAACTGTATTTATGAATGGGCTTTCTCAGAATGGCAAGCCTACTTCTTGCTTGTTCATGATTGGGATGAATTTATGATTTTTATGGAAACCAGGTGATTTTCTGCCTGGTGGGCTCGTCTCACAAGTCAGGCAGAACTCCAGGCTTGTCGTTTTAAGCCCCATCGCCAGAGGCTGCAGAAGATTGAAACATGTCAGTACAATGGTTAGAACCTGGTCAGAATTTGAATGTTAAGCAGTTGAGCCTTTTTATGTTGACTCCTGTGTTATGAATTCAGGCTGTGAGGCTAAAAGCAGATTATGATGGATTTTAAATATGTAAATAGTTATGTTGTGTAAATTAGCTAAATATTTTAAATGCTTTTCCAGCATAAGCCACAATGATTTGAGGAAAAAAATTCCCAGAATAGAAATCGTAATTGATCATAATTACTAGATAGTTATGCTAACTTTTCAACATAATCGTCACTGTACAGGGTGAAAAGTTTGGACCATTTGCTGGAGAGAAGAGAATGCCTGAAGACTTGGACGAAAACATGGATTACAGGCTGATGTGGGAGGTGAGAATGGAATTGTTGATTCAGATATTTAAAGTCTGGTTCTCTACTCTTTTGTGTGCATTTACAAGGCAAAGTTAATCAATGTTGATTTCAATTGACTAATGAGGATACCAGAGTAGCTTGAAAGTTTAGCATTAAAAAGAAATACTGTTGAAATATCTTACTAGACAATTCTTGTAGAACTCTGAGGCTGCTAGTTCGTCATTGAAAAGGAAGTTTTCCGTGGGTAAGGATGTTTAGATTTCAAAGGAAGCATGTCCTTATACTGGATTTAGAATTTGACTTCTGTAAATGAAATTATCCCTTTCCTCTAACTTTATTTCCCAATTGCAGTCCTAATTGCACAGTCACAATTCTTTGTTCTACGTTGGCATGGAAATTCCACTTTAAAATGTACCTTGCCTTTAACATATATTTTATTTTTTAAAACATTTTCTCCCATTCAAGTGGGTGTCTTTTTCTTTTCTTTTTTTTAAAGATTTATTTATTTATGCATACAAGACCTGGGGTGCAGGCCAGAGGTGTGGGGGGTGAGAGGATTCACAAGAGACAGAGTAGGGAACAGAACCGGCAGATTGACCAAAATACACTGCTGAGGGAGCAGCAGGCCAATCAGGAGAGGTCTGCTGTGCCATGTGGGTAGCTCCCTGACCGGGGATCAAACTTTTGCTGCAATGGCTGCACATGGCTTACTAGGTTGCACTTTAACCCCTTGTGCCACCAGGGAGGCCCTGAAATATGGTTTTTAAAGAAGTGATTGGTTGGGTATTAAATTGGATATTTTGTTTGGATTTTTTTTCCTTTATTGCGGTTACTTTGTGATCACAGCTGTTCTGCTGTCTGGGAACTTGATTCAGCACCAGGTTTCCAATATGTTTTAGAAAACATTTAGAAAACATATTCTGATATGTTTTGGAAAAAATGTTTTCACTTGTTTAAAATCTTTTATTTTTCTTTATTGTTTATGGAAATCCTTTTAGGTATTTGAAACAAAGAAGTCTTTTTACCAAATGTTTTTATGTAGCAGATGATGATAACATTTTGTTTTAGGTTCCAAATGGAACTACTTAGTTTAGATGTTTGTGGAAAAATACCACCTAGGAAGCACGAGAACACTGGGAATCCTCATTGACAGAGAGAGTTCCTGCTACACTGCCATCTAGCTAGGGATAAAGCTGGCTGAGTGTTGCATGTCCTGGAAGTTCCTGCATTTGCTCTGTGGATGTCATTTGTCTACTCTTAACAAGATGGCGCCTATCAGTAGGTAGTCAACTTCCCGCCATCCATCTAGACCTGACATGTATCTAGGAAAATGCCAGAGTCTAGGTCAAGTAGCTTGGTTGGAAAGAAAAAAACAATATTAGTGGGAATTGGTAGAAGTTTTAGCATTTATTGCACAAATAAAAATGCAAGCATTTCATGAAATTAGTTCATATTTACTATGTTTTTTAGACTTCTGTGTAAGATAAAAAGTAAGACATGAAGGTTATTGTATTTTTATCTTAATTTTGTATATTTAAAAAGTAAAGTTTAACAATTTTAAAATTAAATATTCCTTTTAATTTCAATTTAAAAACCTGAGGTTGTGTGATTTCCCCACCCCCATTTAAAACTGCTTATTTGTTAGGACTACATTTACTGTTGCATCATGTGGGATGGGGCTGTATTGTAAGTGTGTGTCAAGCATGTGTATTGTTTCTATTATTTTATAGAAATAGATCACCTGGGCCTCCCCGGTGGTGCAGCGGTTGAGCGCTGGGTTGCGAAGCTGCCGGCGACCTCTGCGGCGCAGCGGTTCGATCCCCAGCTGCTCCCCGGCCACCGGAGGAGGGTCCCACATGGTGTGCAGACCCAGACCTCTCCTGCCGCCCGCTGCTCCCCTCAGCAGTGTACTTTGGTCCTTCTGCCTGCTCTGCTCCCCGCTCTGGCTCTGGTGAATTCTCTCGCCCTCCCGCGCTTCTGACTGTACCCAGTGCATGTATAAACAAAACAAACAAACAAACAAATAAATAAATAAATAAAAAACATGCCTCTATAAATAAAAAAAAAAAAATTAAAAAAAAAAAAAAAAGAAATAGATCACCAGTTTAATCTCTGTCAATAAAAAATTTCAAATGAATTTTTGAAAATAAATGATTTTTTTTCCCTGTGTACCTAGGTCACATTGTAATCTGAGTATTTTATGCAGATAATCTGAGTTACAATGATACTTTTGTAGACTGTAGTTAGTAATTATGTAGAAATAATTATTGAAAATGTGCTTCTACATAGTGTGTATTTTATGTATTTATATTACAAAATGATTATTTTAATTATTCTATCATAGCTTTCTACCTTAAAAATGGGAATTTTTAAAAAAGATTTATTTATTTATGCATATAAGAACTGGGGTACAGGCCAGAGATGTGGAGAGGGGGTGAGACACAAAGATATGGAAAGACATCCCCTGCTCATGGATTGGAAGAATTAGCATTTTCAAAATGGCCATCCTACCGAAAGCAATTTACAAATTCAATGCTATTCCAATAAAAATTTCAATGACATTCTTTCCAAGAAATAGAACAAATATTGATGAAATTCATATGGAGCCACCAAAAACCCCTAATAGCCAAAGCTCTCCTGAAAAAAAAAAAAAAAAAGAAGGGAATGGAGGCACCACACGTCCATATTTCAAACTATACTACAAAGCCATAATAATCAAAACTGCATGGTATTGGAACAATAACAGACACATGGACCATTGGAACTAAATAGAAAATCCAAAAATAAACCCACAGATTTATGGTCAACTAATCTTTGACAGAAGAGCAAAGAATATGCAATTAAAAAAAAGAGAGACAGAGTGGAAAACAGAACAGGCAGACTGACGGAAATACACTGCTGAAGGGAGCAGCAGGCGAAACAGGAAAGGTCTGCTGTGCCATGTGGGTTGCTCCCTGGGTGGCTGGGAATCAAACTCGTGCTGCAGAGGCTGTGGATTGCTTCATAGTGTGGTGCTTAACTCATTGTGCCACCAGAGAGGCCCGACTTTTCTCCTTTTCATTTGCCTATTTTTTTCTTCTTTTTTTTTTAGTGTGTCTTAAATATTGCTTTTTAATAAACAGGCGATTTCAAGTTTGTTAGGGCATTATAGATATTTTCAAGTGTAGAAATGAAATCCTCTAGAAGTTAGCTTTTCAGAAATTGTATTGTTCTCTGTGGAATTTTTAGCTATGATTATGGACCTAAAATGTTCTTTTTTTTTTTTTATAAATTCTTTTTTTCTTTTTTTTAAGATTTATTTATTTGTTTATACAAGCACTGGGTACAGTCAGAAGCGTGGGAGGGTGAGAGAATTCACCAGAGCCAGAGCAGGGAGCAGAGCAGGCAGAAGGACTGAAGTACACTGCTGAGGGGAGCAGCGGGCGGCAGGAGAGGTCTGCGTGCCATGTGGGACCCTCCTCCGGTGGCCGGGGAGCAGCTGGGGATCGAACCGGCGCCGCAGCGGCTGCGGGCAGCTTCGCAACCCAGTGCTCAACCGCTGCGCCACCAGGGAAGCCCTAAAATGTTCTTTTATTAGAGATTTCAACTATGACTTTGCTGACATCTGATCTGAAAATAAGATGGTCAGTTTTATTTTAACTGGCTCTTATAACTAATTCCTTACTTTGTTCTTGTCTTTCATGTGACCAGAGATTCTTGCATACCACATGTTATGATTTCCTGGGCAGTTTACATGAAGTTGGTCAAAAGATAAGGTTATTTTAATTGAAATCATCTTCAAATATCCTAGAGTTAAAAACCAGTACCAGCAGTGGAAAAGCAACGGATTATTAAGTCAGAAACTTATCCCAGGAACAGAATATGGTTACTACAGCAGCTGGCCACATTAAGGAGCTGAGCTAAACAAATGATACCTTGCTTCTTCCCCTAGCTAGTCTAGCTCCACTGATGTGGTACATGAAAGTAGCTTGGTCAGAAATTGGGTGTTTGAGGAGTAAGCTAACTACTTGTAAAGGTCACTTGGGTTTTGGAAACAGAGTCTTCTATTTATTTCGTGCTATAAAAATATAGTTGAACCTACTATATTGTGTTCTCCTTGTTAAGCTTATGAGTCTGAACTCTGACTTGTTGTATCCACCTTGTCTCACAGTCAGCTCTGGAGTCCTTTTCAGTGAGCTGGTCTTCATGCTTCTCATGAAAAGAAGAACACAATTTTCATTTGTAGTAAATTTATGTACTATTTCTCAGATGAGGTTTTTCTGGATAGGTCTTAATGACACAACTATTTTGAGTTTTGCAAGTGACTGTCCTGGAAGAGTTTGTTTTGGATTCCTCTGAATTCAGCCAATCCCACTTGGTATTGTAGATTTCTGCCAATATTTTACTAAAGCTATGTAAAGCTGAATATATCCTCATTCCTGTAGAAATAAAGAAGGAAGGTGGTTGTGTTTTTCTAAAATTTTACATGCATTCTTCATGTCCTGGGGATTCTGAGACTTTCCATCAACAGAATCTTTGGATTTTTCATCAAATGTATCTGCAGTAATTTTATCTTGGAGCATACATCAGATCTGGAATTTATTTTATGGTCTTAAGTGTTTTCAGTGTTCTTACCTTGTAAAATCTTTTTATTTTAGACCTTGTTACTCTTACCTGTTGATACTTTATGATATAGTCAGTTCTGCTATCATATGTGTTTCTAAAAAATCAGTTATTATGCAAAGTCACTCCATAAAAACCACAAGACTTATGGGGAAAATGGGATTAAGGACATGGTATACAAAAAACTCTATCAGTGACCTATAAGAGAGAGAGCTATAGAGAGCTAATAAAAATGGTAGCATAGTTTTACATGTGTTAAATGCTTAAGAAATATGTGAAGGGCCTCCCCTGGTGGCTCAGGCTTTTGACCGCTGCGCTTTGAAGCTGTCCGCAGCCTCTGCAGCAGCGGTTTCATCCTGGCCGGCCGGCGAAAGTCCCACATGGCACAGCAGACCTCTCCTGTCTCACCCACTGCT